AGAAGAGCAAAGGGGGGAACGGTGGTGATGTGAATGAGAGTAGTGGGAAGACTGGTGGGAAACGCCGGAGCTTCCTCCTGATTCGACCAGGGGGAGCGGGCAAAGTCGACTTGGAGCTGCATTAGGATAATGTATTTATTATTCCAATAGCCATCTATCACTGGCTCTGTAAGTGGCCAAGCTCATCACTAAATAAGAAGCCTTATGGTATTGTCCTGTTTATTTTTTGAATAGAATGTTGATTTTCCTCGACACTGTAAGTGGCAAGGCTCATCACTAAATAAGAAGCCTTATGGTATGTCCGGTTTCTTTTTTGAATAGAATATTGATTTTTCTCAACCAATCTGTTACAAGTGCCCATAAAGTGTACGCGCGTAGCTCGCCCCCATCTATTCTGCTGCACCAACCAAGTGAGCACCCGACTGCCAGCAGGGCGTGGATGGAATGGGAAGCAGCTAATCGCCTCGCCTCGCTCTGCACTGCTTTCACTCACCCCTTGCCCCGTCCAATCCCCTCGCCTCGCCTCCCTACGCCTCGCGTGGTGTCACTGGTGTGGTGGCCACAGCCATTCCATTCCGCACAAGAATCCCAATCGTACTCCGTTTGTGCCACGTCAATCCCCCTCCCCCCCTCGCCCACTCCACCCATCCCCTCCACCCAGCTTTTCTTTCCGCGCGTGTCTTGAGGTTGATGCCGCGTTCCACCGGGCGGTACCGCATTAAGCCGAGGAACAGTCCGGGAGGAGTTTGATTCGAGTGGAGTCAAAGCCGAGGCTGAACAGACCAATACCGAGACGATGATGAGTCGCACCGTGCTCCTCTCAGCGGCCGCCACGTGTCGCCAGCAGCGCAATCTCCGCCGCTTGCTCTCCGTTGCGCCATATTCCGCCGCTGCTGCTCCGCCGCCCTTGCGCCCCTCCCCCCCAGCCCCGACCTCCTCTGCCGTCTCCTCCCCCGTGCCCGCGAACGGCTCCGCCTCCGCTTATTGCGCCACTTCCGCTCATTCCGCCTCGTTCTCTTCCACCTCGTCCGCTTCTCCTGCCGGCTTCCCGTTCACCCCCGCGCGCCTCGCGTCGTGCGCTGAACCGCACCGCCTATTCACGACCAGCGGGAGCAGCAACAGCAGCAGCGGTAACGGCGGGAGTGGGGGGGGAAGGGAGGGGACGATGTCGGGCGCGGCGGCGGCGGCGGCGGCGGCGGCGGAGAGCGCGGCCGCGGAAAACGACTTTAGCGCGGCGGACCTGGTGATTCAGGAGTCCACGAGACCCAAGGTGCGCGCGCGCGCGCGGGCGTGCTGTGCTGTGCTTGTGTGTTCTCGCTTATTCTCTGCGTTGAATTGGTCTTCGAGAATTCTGAAAAACCAGTGCTGGTAGGGGCTTGTTTATCCTCTGCCATCTTCCCCCCACATCCCCCTTCCCCCACATCCCCCCTCCCCCGCATCCCCCATTCCCCCCGCCCCACCCCTGCTCTCCCTTTCCGCCTCCCCCCTCTCGCCTCCCGCCTCCCGCCTCCGGCCTCCGGCCTCCCCTCCCCGACTGCCGCTTTCCCCCCAGCCGCCCGTGAGTCTGCGCGCGCTCAAGTTCGGGTCGCAGTTCTCGGAGCAGCTCATGCTGCTGGTGCCGCACCCTCCTCTCTCCATCTCCGTTCTCCCTGCCGGCGCCTTCTCTGTTGCTTCCTAACCTCCCCCTCTCCCTCCCCCACTCCACCCATCCGCCCACCAACCCCCTGTCCCACTTCCCCCGCTCTCCCCCCCCTCTCCCTCCCACGCCCTCCCCGCCCCTCCCTCGCATCCCAACCCCTGTCCCTCCTTCCGCCCCGCATCCGCACCCCTGTCCCTCCTCCCCCCCTCGCATCCCAACCCCTGTCCCTCCCCCCCCCCCAGCCGCCCTTGAGTCTGCGCGAGCTCAAGTTCGGGTCGCAGTTCTCGGAGCACATGCTGCTGGTGCCATGGCGGCGCCAGCACGGGTGGGCCTTCCCCGTCATCAAGCCCGTCGCCCCGTTGCCGCTGCACCCCGCCGCGCAGGTGCGTGCGTGCGTTTACAGTGAAGTGCAGTGCCGTGCCGTGCAGTGCAAACTGCCGCTGCACACTGCCTGCACTGGACCTCGTCGTGAGTCCTTTGCTAGCCACCCTCCTCGGCTTCCCCCCCCCCTTTCCCCCATCCCCCCCGCCCCCTTGTGGCAGATGTTCACCCCGCCCCGCCCCGCCCCGCCTCTCCCCGTCCCCTCCCCGTCCCCTCCCCCCCCCCTCACTCACTCCACTCCATCCGTGTTCCTGCTTTGCGCATCACAAGCGTGAGGAATCTATTTTGGAGGCGCCTCATGCTTTTGAGTCGACTCAAAAGCTATTTTGAAGGCGCCTAAAAAAAAAAGACTCCTCACTCACTCCACTCCATCCGTGTTCCTTCTTTGCGCACCACTCCATTCCACACAATCCCTCAACACGCCGCTTCGCCACCCCCACACACACTCCCACCCTCCCCACCCCACCCCCCACCACCGCATGGCTGGCAGGTGCTGCACTACGGCATGGGGTGCTTCGAGGGCATGAAGGCGTTCAAGTCGGCCAGCGGCATCATCCGCCTCTTCCGCCCCGACAAGAACATGGAGCGCCTCGCCTCCTCCTGCCACCGCCTCAACCTCCCCCCTTTCAGCACCGTGAGTGCGACGACAAACCCTCTCCCCACTCCCCCTCCCCCCACCCCCCCTTCGCTTCGCTTCCTCTCACTTCTTACATTACGGCACCTCTCAAGATCAAGTCGCTCTCTCCACTCGTCCCTACCTCACCTCCTCCCCCTCCCCTTCCCCCCACCCCGCCGCCCCAGGTGGAGCTGCTCGAGTGCACTAGAGCCCTGCTCAAAGTCGACGAGCACTACATCCCGCCGTCCCTGTCTATTTTTGAGGCGCCTTAAAAATAGACTCATCCCGCCGTCCCTGTCGTTCAGATCCCCCGCACCATCTCTCTCTTCCTCTCCTCTCTCCTTCCCCCCCTCCTCCCCTCCCCCCCCCCTTTACGTGGATCTGCTCGAGTGCATCAAAGCCCGGCTCAAAGTCGACGAGCACTACACCCCACCCGCGCAACACATGTCGCTACCCCTGCTCTCTCGCCTGCCCCCTCCCCTCCCCCCTCCCCACCCACCCGCAGGTGGAGCTGCTCGACTGCATCAAGATCCTGACGAGCACCCCTTGATCTATTCCCCTCTCCCTGTCACGCCCGCCACAACACACCCACCCCCCCCCCCCCCTTCTCCCCAGCCTTCCCCCGTCTCTCTCTTCTCCTCGCCTACACTCTCTCCCTCGCCCTGTCCCCCGCTTTCAGGTGGAGCTGCCGGAGTGCATCAAGGGGCTGCTCGAAGTGCAGGAGCACTACATCCCGCCGTCGCATCAAGTCTCTTTCCCTTTCCTCTCTCACACTCCTCATTCCTTCTCTCTTCCTCCCCCCCCCCCCCCCGCCCCAGGTGGAGCTGCTGGAGTGCATCAAGGCGCTGCTCAAGGTGGACGAGCACTACATCCCACCGTCGCATGGCTACTCCGCCTACATCCGCCCCACCGTCATCGCCACCACGCCCTTCCTCGGCGTCGGCCCGCCCACCGAGGTCCTCCTCTACGTGCTCCTCTCCCCCGTGGGCCCCTACTTCCCCTCGGGGCTCAAGCCCATCCGCCTGCTGGTGGATTCGCAGCACGTGAGGGCATACCCGGGGGGCGTGGGCGACAAGAAGGTGGCGGGGAACTACGCCCCCACTATCCTGCCGCAGGTGCAGGCAGCGCACAAGGGGTGCTCGCAGGTGCTGTATGTGCTCAAGGACAGGGACGTGGGAGAGGTAGGAGGAGTTGGAGGAGCAGCAGCAGAAGCAGGAGGGGCAGGAGGGGCAGGTGGGGCAGGAGCAGGGGAGGAGGAGGATGGGTTGATAGGCGAATCTGGGTCGATGAACATGTTCTTTGTGTTGAGGAAGCCGGGCGGGGCGAGGCACGGCACGGGCAGTGTGGAGCTGGTGACGCCGAGCCTGGACGGCATGATCCTGCCGGGCGTCACCCGCGACTCCGTGCTGCAGCTGGCCCGCTCGTGGGGAGACATGGACGTCAGTGAGCGGCCCATCCGACTCAAGGAGGTGAGACGGGTTCTGGGAGCTTAAAACGGGGACGTTTTTTAGGCGCCTCGTAAGGGTATCCGTGCTGCAGCTGGCGCGGGCGTGGGGGACATGGACGTCAGCGAGTGGCCCATCTGACTCAATAGGTGAGATGGGTTTTGGGCGTCTCAAAACTGGGACGTTTTCTGGGGCGCCATATGTTGCTCCTTGCATTCACACTTCAAACCGATTCAAGAAATCGTCAGCCATATGCTCCATTAGTACATGCGATGCAGCAGAGGTGCTGACAAGAGGTGCACCACCACACAGCACCTGTCCTCCCATGCCCACTTGTCCCTCCCACCCTCCCACCCTCAACTCTCACCTGCGCACTCCCCTCTCCCCCCCGCCAGATCCGGCAAGCGCACGCAGAAGGGCGGCTGCTGGAAATATTTGGGACAGGCACAGCTGTGGTGGTGCAGCCCGTCTCAGCCCTCGTCCTTTCCGACGGCACTGAACTCTCCACACCTGTGGAAGACGCCACGCTGGCGCACTGGACCAACAAGAAGCCCGGGCAGGCATGGGATAAGCCCGAGGACTGGGAGCCGCTGAGCGTGGCAGCGCGCGTGCACCGGGCGCTGATGGATATTCAGTATGGGCTTGTGGAGCACCCGTGGAGTGTCAAGGTGGAGTGAAGCTGAGCATCTAGGGTTTTATTTGTACGAAGGGGGGTGCAGAGAGGGGACACCTTGGTTATAGGAGGATAACACGCCATTCTGCAGGGACTGGAGGCATTGGGAGTGCATCAGCTGCACCAATGGGTTCATACCGTATCTTGGGTCATTTTTGAAACGGTTTGATATTTTTATGTTGTAAAAAATGTAATTACTTATGTCTCCGCATCTTACTAACAATGCAGGGAACACGATTTTACTATTTGTGAACAGGGTGTTGTTTATAGGCACTCAACATGTTTGTACAAGTCGTAGTGATTTGGATACACTACTTTTGGCGTGTATTATTACAAGGGCTAGGGAGGGAACTACGACGATCCCGTGTATGAATGAAAACCAATCAACTGATCCAGCTAGCGTGCGATGCGCGATGCTTGTTTTATGGACGGCTTGGATCGGGTGGTTGCGAATTGGAGTTCCAACACATTGCGGAGAAACCGTTGCCCGAGGTCACCAACAGGAGGGAGGGAACGTCACTATCCATCTGCTCCAACTCAACAGACCTCGGCGTGTAAAAAGCCAACTTTTCACATCCTCCCCCTCGCCCGTTTCATTTGCAGCCTTCGCTTCACTTCTGTGCCTTCCTCCTAGTCTTGAATCACCGAGCTGCCCAGTTTCACTCGACGTAATTATGGCCCGCACGAAGCAGACTGCTCGCAAGTCTACAGGAGGCAAGGCCCCTCGTAAGCAGCTCGCCACCAAGGCTGCCAGGAAGTCCGCTCCTGCCACTGGTGGGGTGAAGAAGCCTCACAGATACCGACCCGGTACCGTTGCTCTTCGTGAAATTCGCAAGTACCAGAAGTCTACTGAGCTGCTTATCCGCAAGTTACCCTTCCAGCGTCTAGTGCGTGAAATCGCCCAAGACTTCAAGACGGACCTGAGGTTCCAGAGCTCTGCCGTGATGGCTCTGCAGGAGGCTGCCGAGGCTTACCTGGTCGGTCTGTTCGAAGACACCAATCTGTGCGCCATCCATGCGAAGCGTGTCACCATCATGCCCAAGGACATCCAGCTCGCCAGGCGCATTCGCGGCGAGCGTGCATAGGCCCGTATTGCAAAACTGCATTCTAACATGGATCTCTAGAATTCTGACTAACGTTACGACGTTCGCTTGAGTGCTTGTGCTTGTTTAACTAATGTGTTAGATTACCCATATCGAGTAAAATTACGCGGATGGCATCCATTTGTGGACAAAAGAACGTGGACCGAATAATGTGTTACTAGTTGCCCAGCCGCAATTGTAAGCCAAGATGTTGCGAGCTCAATGTCTCACTTCTTGCCACTTCCAGACTAGAATGCTTGTGACAGCAATGGCTCATAAGAAATCCAAAGATCGTCTATGGGTAATCCAGGTTTCTTTCTTGCCTATGGATTTCTTATGGCTCATAAGAAACCTTGCCACAACGTTTCTAGCCACAAGGATGGGACGTGCTAGTTTCTTTCTTTACCAGAGGCCATTTACCTACGCTCTGTAAAAGTGAACCACGTGTTTACGGTGCTCATCAGGAATGCATAAGTAACTCTGTCCTGTGCAGCTAAGCACAAACGAAATATGCCACCAATTTCATGGCCATTAGGTGAATGCAAACATTAGAAATTATCAATATCGTTTATTTCACCTTTCCCAATACATCGCAATTTTCTTGAACGTAAAGTAACAGTTATTGGGCTTAGGATGGAGTTATAACTGCATTTGAAATGTTGAAATTTTCTCACGCAATTCGTATGGATGTTGTGATTCAGACTTGATACATATGAGCTGAATGGGTATGTGCTTGTCTAGACTGGAGACAGTAAAGCAGGTTTGGCGATCCAGCCTGAAACAATTGACCAATCATCGTTTTGAATGGCGCGCAGCACGGGATGACGTCCGACTAGACGGTTCAGATCGAGCCTTGCAACAACATTTCGCACCTTCGATCTTTCAAACCGCACCGCGTCACTGGTTGGGTGAAAATGGGCAGAACAGATGCACAAGCCACCCTCCGACTTTCCCCCACCACCCCTCCCCCATCCCCAACTTCAGTGTTCCCCACCTTGCCTCTGGTCATTTCTCTTCAAAGCCGCTTGGTTGCTTCATTCCTCTCATTCTCCACAATTCTCATTGATTCCCTACATCATTCTTCGCTCATTCGCTTCTAGCTTCTAGCTAACTTCCTCCTTAGCACTTCGTACGCTTACTTCACCCTTCATCCAAGATGGCTCGTACAAAGCAGACGGCTCGTAAGTCCACAGGAGGCAAGGCTCCTCGCAAGCAGCTCGCCACCAAGGCCGCCAGAAAGTCAGCTCCCGCTACCGGAGGCGTGAAGAAGCCTCATCGCTACCGCCCCGGAACCGTGGCTCTTCGCGAGATCCGCAAGTACCAGAAGTCGACGGAGCTTTTGATCCGCAAGCTGCCGTTCCAGCGGCTAGTGCGCGAAATCGCCCAAGACTTCAAGACGGACCTGAGGTTCCAGAGCTCTGCAGTGATGGCTCTGCAGGAGGCTGCTGAGGCTTACCTGGTCGGTCTGTTCGAAGACACCAATCTGTGCGCCATCCATGCGAAGCGTGTCACCATCATGCCCAAGGACATCCAGCTCGCCAGGCGCATTCGCGGCGAGCGCGCATAGTTTTTGGCTTCAGATACTTAATACTTGTCTATCTTGTATATGTCTCCATTTACGACGTAGTTTTTGTATCCCCTAAGAAGCGCTAACGAAACGTTGAGCAAACATTCACTTGAAAATTGCGTCAGCTCTCTTCCTGGTCAAGTACTCGTCTAGACTGCGTACACCATCGGAACTCGTGGTGCACACAATTTACTAACCTCACGCTTGCGTCACTCTCCAACAGTCTAAACTATATACACTGTCGGAAGCCGTGGTGCACACTATGCGCTAACCTCACGCTTGCGTAGCTCTCCAACAGTCTAAACTACGTACACTATCGGAACCTGCGGTGCACACTATGCGCTAACCTCACGCTTGCGTCGCTCTCCAACAGCCTCAGGCAGCATCCTTGCTAGTAGCGATGGCAACCAAGTAGGCTCAGGCTTGGGCTCGAAGGGGTCCCAACCTCCATAAGGCACATTGATGTTCCCATTAGACGCGTCACCAGCCCTACCACACTTCGCTCCACCAGCATTTGCTGCACTGAATGTCCCCCCACTAGCCTTGCTGCTACTATCACCACCAGCAGCCCTGCTACTTCATGCCTTGCTACTGCGCCCTGGGGCAGGATAGGAGGCTCTGTTGCGACTGCCACGGTCAGTTCTGCTGCTTCTCCCTCTCATTGCTTTACCTCTCCTTCCTCACACCCCAGCCAAGCAGCTGCAAGGGCGATGGAGGCCCTTCCCTGGTAGCATACATTGAGGACGCCATCCACCCTGTCCATGTGGCGCATTGCCATTGGACGGCTCTTCGCAACATCCTCAAGAGTCGTGGTAAGGTAGTATGAGTGTATGTCAACTTATACATGTCATGAGTGTAGAAGTTATAGGCTAGTATCGGTGTGTGCTCGTAGTGAGTACAACCCAACTGCTATATGTTCCCTGTTTCTCTTTCTAATCAATTATTCTCGTAAGCTAACATGGTATCGAGTGGGTTAGGACCCCCCCCCCGCCCGCTTCCGCCCGCGCCCTAGCCTCTCGCCTCCCCCTACCTACCTAGCCCGGCCCGGCCCTTAGCGCCCGCTCGGCCTGTAGCGCCCGCCGGCCCCTTAGCGCCCACCTGGCCCCTGTCGCGCCCTCCTGGCCCCCGTCGCGCCCTCCTGGCCCCGTAGCGCCCTCCAGGCCCCGTAGCGCCCTCCTGGCCCCCTATCGCGCCCTCCTGGCCCCGTCGCGCCCGCCTGGCCTCGTAGCGCCCTCCTGGCCCCCGTCACGCCCTCCTGGCCCCGTAGTGCCCTCCTGGCCCCCGTCGTGCCCTCCTGGCCCCCGTCGTGCCCTCCTGGCCCCCGTCGCGCCCTCCAGGCCCCGTAGCGTCCTCCTAGCCCCCGGCGCGCCCTCCAGTCCCCCGTAACGCCCTCCTGGCCCTCGTCGTGCCCGCCTGGCCCCACCCCAGCCGCCTGGCCCCACCGCGCCCGCCTGGCCCCACCGTGCCCGCCTGGCCCCGTCGCGCTCGCCTAGCCTCACCGCGCCCGCCTGGTCTGCTGCGCGCGCCGGCCCCTCCTAGCGCCCGCCCGGTCCCTCCTAGCGCCTGCCCGGCCCCTCCTAGCGCCCGCTCGGCCCCTCCTCGCGCCCGCCCGGCCCCACCTAGCGCTCGCCCGGCTCCACCTAGCGCCCACCCTGCCTTTCCTAGCGCTCGCCCGGCCCCACCTAGCGCCCGCCCGGCCTTTCCTAGCGCTCGCCCGGTCCCTCCTAGCGCCTACCCGGCCCCTCCTAGCGCCCGCTCGGCCCCTCCTCGCGCCCGCCCGGCCCCACCTAGCGCTCGCCCGGCCCCACCTAGCGCCCGCCCGGCCTTTCCTAGCGCTCGCCCGGCCTTTCCTAGCGCTCGCCCGGCCTCTCCTACTGCCTGCCCGGCCCGGATACGCCCGCCCGGCTCCTGCGGCCCGCAACTCCTTGTGCCTGCCCGGCTCCTGCGGCTCGTGTCGTCTGCTTGCCGCGCTAGAGCGTCTTGTCACCGTCCTGTGGAGCTGTGCTGCTGTGTCCCTGTGTCGCTGATTCTGCACGATGGCTGACTTCGTCCTCCGCCTGGACGCGGAGGGCCACGCGGTTGACTTCGCCGCCTGGCTGTCCGATCTCCGCCGTCACCTCACAGGTCAGCGTCAGGATGGGCACTCCTTGGTTGTCCATGTTGATGGCTTGCTCCCCCGCCCCCCTGCACCTGCTCCCCTCCCTGTTGACCCCACCTCTACTGAGCGTGAGGTTTTCTCTGCTGCTGCACTTGCCTGTGCAATCTGGGACTCTCGCGATGCAGTTGCTCAGGTCGCTATTAGTCACGCCCTCCCTGTGCCTGAGCGTTCGCGTTTCGATACAGTTGATACAGCCAAGGCTTACCTAGATGATGTCGCTGCTCGCTATTCCACGCCTGCCTCCGCTACTGCAGGCCGCCTGCTCTTTCCTATGCTTTTCCCAGACCTTGCTTCTTTCCCTACTGTTGCTGATCTTGCCACCCACCTGCGCGCCCTCGAGTCTCGCTACCGCACTGCTAGCACTGCTGCCCAGCTCATTGCGCTCCCTCCCCCCTTCTGCATGACCCTCTACTTTATCGCTATTCGCCTGCGTGACCGCCTTGCTAGTGCCCGCGACCACATCCTTAGCCAGGACCCGGGTGACCTCACCCTGACAGCCTTTGTCACCGCCCTGACCGAGATCGAGACTCGCCAGCGCACTATCGCTCAGTCGAGCGGTGCACCGGCAGTCTCTATCTTTCACGGCTGTGCCCCCTCCCAGTGCACGTTTACTGACGTTTCGGCTGCGGTCGCCACTGCGACCCCTCTGACCGAGACTGCCGCTGCCGTGCACTCGCAGCAGCGCCCGCGCCGCACCGGTCGTGGCCGCCAGAGAGGGCGTGGTGGTGGAGCTGGTGGTAGTGGTGGTGGTGCCGGGGACAGTGGTTCTACTGAGGGGGCTGCCGCAGCTAGTCAGGAGCAGCAGCCGTCGCCCCAGCAGCAGGAGCAGCTGCAGCAGCCGTCGCAGCAGTCGCAATCGTCACCGCAGCTGTCCTAGCCCCAGCCGTGGGCTCGTCTCCCCCCGGGTTGGCTCGGCACCTCCGTCACTGGTGGCCGTGGTGGTGGCCCGCGCAGCTTGGCGTCTACCGGCAGCTCCGGTGGTGTGACCTGCTAGTACCAGCTTCAGACCGAGCCTCTCCGCGGCACTCTGTGCCGCCGCCCACACCCGACCGCCCGCTTGTTCCGCCGCCTCGATGATCTCTTTCGTCGTCGCTTTGGCCCGGCCCCGGACCTCCCCGACTGGCACAGCCTGCTTCGCCAGGGCGTGCCGATCTTTGAGATAGGTGCTGCTTTGCATGCCTTGTATGCTGACGCTTCTAGTGTTGCTGGATCTTATTACCCTGCGTACTCTAGCTTAGGCGTAGCACCCTTGTGTAGCTTAGCCTCCACTGCTGCGTCAGGCATAGGACTGCCTAGTTTGCCTAGCCTAGTTTCTGCACCGGCTTCGTTCCCGGCCTCCGCTACTGCCTCACTCTCCTTCACTCTCGACTCCGGTGCTTCTGTCTGCTTCTTCCGCGACCGCTCCACGCTCACGCCCCTTGCTGCGCCTGCTGTTGTCGCTCTCGCTGACCCCTCCGCGGGACCTGGCGTCGCTCGCAGCTCCACTTCCCTTCCCTGTCCAGCCGTTCCCTCGGGCTCTCTTACAGACCTCCACGTTCCCTCGTTCTATAGGAACCTGGTTGGGTGTCAGCCATCTTCAGGACCTCGGCGTCACCAATACGTTCCCTCGGCACGAGCGGTAAGCGGTCTGTACCGAGGCTGTCTCAAGTTCCCCCCTTGCGACGTTCCCTTGGGACCCGGTGTCCGGGCTGTTTACCCTCGACACCGCTTCCCCTCCGGTTGGTGCGTCCTCCCAGGTCGCTGCGGCTTGCTCGTGTCGGTCCCTCACACACCCGTCCCTTCTGTGGCACCACCGCTTAGGTCACCCTGCTCTCCCACGCCTGCGTCACATGTCTCAGCACGGTCTTGTCTTAGGCCTCCCCGAGTCGCTCCCCGCACTTCCCCCCTCGCCTGCGCCACCGTGCACACCCTGCATCGAGGGCCGGCTTCGCCGTGCCCCCTCACTCCTCGCTTCGCCCTGCTACTGCTCCCCTTTTGACCCTGCACCTGGACGTTTGGGGCCCAGCCCCCATCCCCGGACCGCGCGGTGAGCGCTACTTTCTTGTGCTCGTCGACGACTACACGCGCTACACCACGGTGTTTCCCATGGAGCGGAAGGCCGACGTGCCCGACGTTCTTCTCCCGTGGGTTGTAGCTGCGCGTCTTCACCGCGGTCTCCCTGTGCTTTGTCTCCACTTCGACCGTGGCGGCGAGTTCGCCTCTGGTCGGCTTGGACAGTTCTGTCGTGCGGAGGGCATCACCCAGTCGTACACCTTGCCGGACTCTCCGCAGCAGAATGGGGTCGCTCAGCGACACATCGGTTTGGTCATGGAGGTGGCTCGCACCTCCATGATCTATGCCAGTGCACCCCATTTTCTGTGGCCATTCGCCGTTTGTTACACTGCTCACCAGCTCAACTTGTGGCCACGCTCCCAGCGGCCGCAGGTTTCGCCGACCCTCCTTTGGACCGGGTCCCCCGGAGACGCGTCTGCTTTCCACGTCTGGGGCTGCCTTGCTCACGTTCGTGCCTCCGCCACGGACAATCTCACTGCCCGCACTGTCCCGTGTGTCTTCCTAGGTTTCCCCCTGGACTCGTCTGACTGGCTCTTCTACCACCCGCAGTCTCACCGCTTCCTTCACTCTCGTGACGTCACCTTTGACGAGTCTGTCTCCTTCTTCCGTCGCTTCCCTCACCGAGGTCTCCCGGTTTCCCCCCCCCTGTTCCTTGCTCCCTCTCTCCCGGTCGCCCCTGCTCCCCTCCCGCCTCGTCCTGCCCCGTCTGGTGTCTCCCATGTCCCTCCCCTCCCGTCGGTTGTCCCCGTTGAGGAGTCTGCTGACTCTGGTGGTCCCCTCGGCCCGTCTGTGCCACGCCCCCCCTCCCCGATGCCCCCCCCTCCGCTGTCGCAGTCGCTGTCGCCGTCGCTGTCGCCGCTGTCGTCGCCCGCCACTGCCGCCGCCGC